ACATACATTTAAATCAAGGTTCCACCCATCAAAGAAAACTCGTGACGTTTCTTTCTGAGCCTGGTTTGCTTCACTCAGCACAATGCTTTCTGGCAGTATCCATTCTCCTGTAGATGCCTGACAGGAACTTGAGCCATCCTTCAGCCATAACTCAGCCGAGGACCGGCTTGCTTCTGAATTTGGTGGTTATGGAGACGGTATTGTGATCATTTTTAGTCCCCATGAATTCCAGACTCTTTAACTAGGAGGCAAATGAGAGTGGACTTTAGCTTCTCCACCTTGAGGCCATTGCGCCTGCCCAGTGGAGGCAGCTGGAACAGGCTCAAGCTAGTCTAGATGCTGACACACTCTCTGGCCCAGAATAGGAAGTAAAAGGCGTGACACTTAACATATAATTATTGTAACTTCTTTGGCTTCAACCAAAGGCTGATTCTGCTCAAGAAGTCATTTCTCTTCAATCTCCTCTCTTGGGAGCTGCTCATCTCTGGTCCTCTGGGCTCTCCTCCACCCTTGGACTGCCCCAGAGAGCTATTCTTTTCTCCTGGGTAAACCCAACTTTACTGAGCTCCTGGTTGGTCTACTCCATATCAGCTCCCATTATCTGTTAACCTCCAGGTCTCTGCCTGTTACTGGAAGTAAATGGTCTGCCCAGTGCTCAAAAACTAATATTCAGGAGTTGGCAGGGAAGAATCAGGTTCATTCATAGATGGGAGATCTTTAGATGACAGGGGTGAAACCAATGACTGAGTTAAGGTGATCCTTAACCTTTGAAGCTAGTGAGTGGGTTAAGACGCGCCTAGCACTGAAGCTTGTGAGTGGCTCAAGTTTCTTCTGTCACCACCGAAGCTGGTAAATGCACCAAGGGACTCCTAGCACTAGCAAGTCTTTCCATCGGTTCTATTTTGTCTCACTTCCCTATATCACATCCTCAAATAATTAACCAATAGACTGTTGGGAATATTATTTTAGGTGTGTTGCTTTTGTTTATGCCGTGAAGTTGTGATTCTGTGCATGTCTAAAATGCCTGATGGTCCTAATAAAAATCTGAATGGCCAACAGCAAGGCAGGAGCAAGGATAGGTGGGCTTGGCAGGCAGAAAGTATAAATAGAAGGAGAACCAAGGAAGAGGAGAAGGAGGAGCAATGAGAGAACAAGGGAAGGAGGACTTCGGGGGCCAGCCACCCGGCTACACAACCAGCCACAGAGTAAGAGTGAAAGAAAGATCACAGAAGCAGGAAAAGGAAAAATCCCAGAGGCAAAAGGTAGCTGGGATAATTTACATTAGAAAGTTAACCAGAAACAAGCCAAGCTAAGGCCGGGCTTGTTAACTAAAAATAAACCTCCATGTGTGATTTGAGAGCTGTGTGGTGCCCCTGCCAAAAGCCAAAAGAGTAATACATCAACAACAATAGTCAGCTTGACCTGAAATTAACAATAGGCAGATTGTCCAGGACACCAATCACACAACCTAGCCAGTTATCTTTCTTAAGGTTTACAGGAATGCTCATGGACAGAATCAAAATGACATCAAGAGACTTGATTACCGCAAGAATGAATGATTCTCCCAGTCTACCTGGATACTGCTGCAATTAGACTCGCCAGAAACTCCACACACGCTTTTGCATCTGTGGCTCTGGCTTGATGGAATCTGGCTGCAAGGCCCCCACCTTCCACCTGCTGGTTGCCAGTCTGCTAAGTCCTTTCTTCTCTGGGCACTCTTTCACTTGAGCCACCGACCTCACTGGCTGACAGTAGAACTGGGCTTTTCAATTACAGACAGGCTATTCCTTAAAGCTCCATGGTTTATAAGGAGGGATAGAAAGAAGGGAGAGACCATGGATAGGAAGTTATGTTTCCAGAAGTCTTCACCACACACAGCATGTCTTGTCTCAGACCTGAACACTGGAGTGGACCTCAACCTTTCTGAGCTAGTTTCTTTGTTTTCTTTCCTCTTCTTTTTTGTTTGTGATATATCTCTGTTCAAGTGGGGTGTACATGCCCGTGCATGTCGAAGCCAGAGCTCAATGTTGGGGTTCCCTTTATCAATCTCAAACTTACTTTTTGAGATAGAACCTCTCATTTAACCTGGTACTCACTGGTTTGGCAAGCTGGCAGCAAGAATTCACTTGTCTCCATACACTCAGTGCTGGGAGATGACGGCTGGTATGGAGCTGGCATTTACATGGGTGCTGGGGATCTGAACTCACGCCCCGACACTTGCCCACCATTCACTTCATCCACTGAGTCATCTATCCAGCTCCTCGTTCGAAGAGAGACATAATGCTTTTCTGCAAATTAATTCACATACTTTGTGTTTGTTAACAGATTGTAATGAAGACAAAACAGGGGCTCCAGCCAGGGTCTAAGTGGAGCTGTTTCTTCTTTTGCAATACATTTCCATTTCTCCCAAGGTATTGGTAAGGAGAGAAGGTGGGACCTCTCGGAAGCCCTTGGAGCAGTTCTACAGGAGGCTAAGGTGGTTGTCTTCATGAGTTGAAACGAGCAGAGTGTGAGGGGAAAACTACAGCTTCCTGATTGTGTCACCGAGTGCTGTCATGGTTCCCTGAGTGGGAACAGACCTCTTCTGTGGCAGTGGGGACACAGACTCCCCGTCATGGTCTTCAGGGAGCTGTGGTGGCTGCAGTGACAAGAAAATGCAGCAATCTGAAGAAAATATTTTGTTATTCTATCAACAGCTCCATGAGATAGAACAATATAATAATATCAGTTTACCAGTTTATGAAAAACCCCAGATGAATCTATATTATTTTATGACAGAACAGAACAGGTTAAAGCTACCGGTGCATATGATTAATTTTCCATTTTCAAATCTTATATAGGTTGTGGACCACACTTTTCAGAGGAAGTAAATTGCTATAACAGGCTGGTGTATAAAAGCCTCTTTTGTTACTCAGAGTTTTTTTTTTTTATCTCAGTCTCAAGTGAGTTTAGCTGTTAATCTCAGAGTTTGCACTTTGTCTAGGACTGGCTAAAATACCAAATTTCCAAGCAACAGTATTCCAAGATCCCTGAAGTGGAGGCCAAACCAATACTATGAACCTGGACCTAAAACCTCACAACAGGTTGGGTGGTGGTGATGCATACCTTCACCCCCAAAACCCTCCCAACAAATGCCAAAACAGGGAGAAGAAGAAATGGGGAATCTGGCTATTTACACCAAATTTTCTTCAAATGTCTTCTTTGCCTAGAAAGTATTCTCAATTGCTAAGTGAAATTTTCAGGTCGGCAACAAAGGGCCAAGTTCATGGGCCAAGTTCACAGGACAAGGGGTCCAGTCAGTGTGTGGACTAGTTCATAGGTTCCCTACACTGGGAGCCGTGGAACCATGGGTAAAGGTCTGCCTGGAATTGTTCAAAGCAGGCCCGTCTTATTAGCTGCAGGCCAGGCCAGTCACTGAAAGCATCTTTTTGAAACAAAACAAAACAAAAGGTGTTCACGAGTGTGTGGAGATGTGAGCAAACTCGGACCTGACTCCCGCAGACTAGGGTTTGGGACTCTATAGGAGAAAGAAACATGGCAGTCTGCAGTGCAGAAGATGATTGTAGGATTGTAGGTGAGGGTGAAAGAAACAGGGATTTTTGCCAAGCTCTTCACAGGATATGTTTTATATCTGGTGACATTAGCATGTTCTGAGGGTGAAATTTAAGCCCTCAGACCTTGAAAGGTCACCTTTGGACACCTGTGCAGGGCCCAGGGAAAGACCAGTGGTTTAAATTGTTTCAAATCTCCAAGTTCCTGAGAAATACAAGGATTGCCATGGTGCCCCAGGCATTAGTGTTCGGATTAAGTTTTTACCCCAGCCCCTGGCATCCATACACCCAAAGAGTCTGGGATGTTTGGTTGGAAGTGACACCCCAGCCCCTGGCATCCCTATACTGAAAAAGTCTGGAATGTTTGGGAGGAAGTTCCATCCCAAGCCTCCTCCTCTGGGAGTTGCCTCAGTCCAGACTCACCTCTGAGAAAGTCCTAAACTGTGACTCCTCTCCAGAGATGCTCAAGATCACTCCCACAGGGTGGTCTTGAGGGGTCAACTTTAACTGCCTCCCTCAAGAGAACAAACACGTGGTTTTCCAGTCTTCTTTCCCATCTCCTCTCTGAAGGCCTGGAAGGCCACCCGGGAGTGCTAGTATCCACTAAACCTGGACTTTTTCTAATTCAGTTTGATTTGGTCTGATTTAGATTATTGTATCAGCGGAGAGGTTTATTGGGCAGTAAAAACTTTTCAGTTATCTCTAGCAAAGCTAATAAAAAATATGCATGTTCCCTAAAATTGGTGCTGAAAGCAAACGAAGAACTTCCGAGTCTCACAAGCCTCCCTCTGTTGCTCACTCAGCTCCTGTCTTGTTGATAACTGGGTAAATTAGTAACTGCTTTGTGCTCGGTTCCTCATCTTGAAAACCAGCACCAAATATTTTGGGGGGCTGAGAACTTGTGGTCTCTCCATCTTTCTAGTTAACTGGCATGCCCTGAGAAGAGTGGCAACCCCAGTTCCCATAATAGTCTGAAGAACATTGGAGCTTGAACTTTTTTTTTTTTTTTTTAGAAACGGAGGCTTATTATGTATCTTAAGTTGATCTTGAACTCATGATCCTCTTGCCTCAGCGCTCCAAGTGCAGGTATTACAGCTGTGCACCAACATGCCCTGATTATTACTAACTCCAGGTCCCTATTTGATGTGGCAGTATATACTCTTCTAAGCAGCGAGCTGAGGAACAAACAGAAGTGTGTGTGCTCCAGTGGGGCGACTCGAGCGTTTGGACCCACGATGTGAAGATGCTCGGGCATCAAGGTCTGCACTCTCAGAAGCCCAGTCCTCCAGTGCATTTGGCTGCAGCGTTCAGCTCGTAAGTCCCTCAGCAAAGTCGGTGCCCTTCCGGGTTCTGTGCCGAATCTGCGGTTGCAGACGCGGCGGCTGCGCGCGCCTGTGGAAAATGCGGCTGCGCACGCCTGCGGCCTGCCTGCCCTATTTCATCATGCACCGGGCGGGCCGCGCGCCGCTTCCGTAGCCGCCCTGCGCACCGCCTAGGCGGCGTGCTCATGCCCTGTCCGCTGCCCACGCTGCTCAGAGCCACCCGCGCCGCGCTGCTGCTACTATCGCCGCCCAGGGTCGTCGCCGCGTCCGTGTCTCAGCGGCTCCTCAGCGTTCCCGCGCAGCCCGCAGCCTCTCGGAGCAGCATGGACAGCGCCGAGGAGCTGCTGGCCCCACTGCGGCTTGCCGTGCGCCAGCAGGTACCGGTGCCCGCGCGCGGCGCCCCCTCCGGGCGGTCCTTTCCCCGTCCACGCGCGGCGCCCGCACCCGCGATCCTTGGGCCTCGTGCCCTCGCTGCATACCCCGAATCCGGCCCTCGCACCTCTGTGGCCTGGTTCCTTGACTCGTTCCCGGTGCGGTGACGAGCCGAGGCTGCGCTTCTCTCTAGACTTGAGGATGCTTTGGGAAGCGTTCCCTTCTTTTCACCTTCCTCCCTTCGGTGTTAGCCCCAGGACTGGCTCAGAAGATACGGTCGAAACGTGGCTGTGGGGAGGTGTCGAACTCCCCACTCCTCAATACCGATGCGAATTCATGATCCCTCCCTCCTGTCAGCTTTTCTGACTTCTTAAGAGGGTGTCTGGAGGCAGTGAGCTTTAGGATCAAGCTGGAGATTGTAAATGGACTGACTGAACCACTCGGTGAAGTCATCCATCCTCGGGTGGAGCACCTGGGAATGGGATTTTGCGGCAGGGAAGGAAGGTTTCTTAGCTGGAGGACCTGAGGATTTAATTCAGACCTCCTTTTTTTCTGTAGCACTGAGTGGAGATCAGACTCGAGAGAGGGAAAGGAGAAAAGTATTTCAGGTGATCCCCACACCCAGCGAGAGCCAGAGTTTCCAGTAGGGCCCAAGCATCCCTGACCTACTAGCCGTAAACACCAGTCTGGTAGCTCCTGCGCTGGCGCCTGATGCAATCGTTTCTCTAGCCGAGGACGGGGGAATCCTGTTTCGGAAACAATTCATTGGAGCAGAGCTGCGACAGCTTCAGGAAATTCTGCCACTTTGCTCTAGTTTGAGCCTGTCTCAATTAATAGGCTTTCGTTTTGAATTTCACTATGGGCTTCATTGTTGTTTTTTAAATAGTGTGTTCTGTACATATTCAGTCTCCTTCCATCCACCTTCCACTCCACATACATAGGTGTGGTTCCTTTGTTTTTGCTGTAACTTAAAATCTCCTTCCTTAGGAAGAATACATCTAATTTGGGGGGAAAAAAAACCACCCCACACTCCAAACCCCTCCCTCTGCCACGTTAGCCTGGAACTGCAGTACATAGTATCCATCTGTAGTAAGACTGGGGCTAGTTAGTTTCAGGACGCTTTGATCATGGAGAGCTTTTGTGTGTGACATTTCTGCCCTTTGTTAAGTTGTTATGTTGGCTTTTTGTTGTTGTTGTTGGTTTGATTGTTTGGGTTTGTTTTGTTGTTCTGTAGCATATTTTCTGAATAGTTGACTTAATTTATTTGTTAGTTTGTATTCTTTTCTGATTTTCCAGAAGTAGTGTGTGTTGATTAATTGCCTGGAACTTTGAGTCATACTGAGTTCTGTGTCACTGGAAAGAGTTTAAGGATCACCTGGTTAAGCGCCTTTCTCGGACATGTATGGAAATGTGGAGTTCAGTCTGCCTATTTCACACATTTCCATTGTGAGCCTTGTGCAATCGGAGACTCTACAGCGTGGCCCTTGGGGAGGTATTAAAGGGTTGTTCTTGATAGTGGCACGTATTTTGGAGAGTATTACCAGTAATAGTTGTGTCCCCAAATGAAATTCAAGCCTTTACAAAACTAGTTTTGGAAAACTGGTTTTTATTAAAACTGAGCTTGACAGTTGCACAGTGCTTCAAGAACTTCTTTATGTGGTAAGTAGTGGTATTAGCAAACACTGAGTTTTTGGTATTGTATGATAAATGAGGCCCCAGATGATCAGGACACTGGTAAAGATCTCTTCAGAATCCTAAGCTACATTTCTGGGTTTATGTAAGAGGATGTAGAAAGTTCAGCGCTGCAGTTTCTGAGTTAGAAATAACTTTTTGTTCTCTTGATATAGGGTCCAACTTTGTGGCCTCAAACTTGAAATCCTTTTCTCCGAGACAAGGTTTTACGTATCCCTCGCTAGCCCCAAACTCCCAGCATAGAGAAGGATGACCTTGAACTTCCAGCTTTCACCTTCCTGGTGCTGGGATTGCTGTTCTGTGCTGGGGCTCGAACTTCCAGGTGTCTGCATGCTAGACAAGCATGCCACCAACTGAGCTGTCTAATTCTTTGAAATCACTTGAAAAATACTTTTTACATTCTTACTTATTTTCTGTATGTGTGTGCACATGCATGCCACACACTTTTTTGGAGGTCATAACAGTCTTAAGGATATCATTTTTCTTTTTAATGCTCCTTATTGTATAAGGAAGTATTGCAGGAATAAGTTCAGTAGTTCAGTCCTCCTACCATGGTCCCCAGGGACCACTCAGGCTGCCAGACTGCCAGCAGGCCCTTACTGGCTGAGCCATCTTACTGGGCCTTAAGAAATCACTTACAAGAAACTACCACCTCTCAGAGTTTCCGTTAAAGAAGAATTTCTACAATAACCTGAAAAGACTTTGAGATTCCCTCTTTTCCAACGATGTATGATCTCCTTAATAAACTTTTCCCAAAAGTAGTTTTAATAGCAGCCTGTATGATAATCTGCCTTTGATAAATTATAGTTTAAGAGATTAGCAAAATCATTATAAAACTGACTTTTTTAACTTTTAAAATGCTCTATTTTCAGAATGTTCCTGTTACATTGTTTTTTATTATAAATGATTTTTTAAAATTTATTATTATTATTTTTAATTTCCATTTTATTTTGTAATACAAGTGTTCCCCTGCCTACGATGGGTTGTGTCCTGGTAAACTCTTTGTATATTGAGAATAGTGTAAGTTGAAACTGCCTGATAACACCTAACTTACCTGAGAACATCCAGCTGAGCAACCAGGCCACCGTAGAGTGTCTTGTTCACCCTTCTGATTGTTGACTGTTTGGCTTACTGCTGCTGCCCAGTATCACAAGAGATCCTATATATCTCTGGCCTGGGAAATGGTAGGAGCTCAAAATTCAAAGTGCACTTTCTACTGAGTTGAAAATTTAGGAGCTGGAGAGATGACTCAGCCGTTAAGAGCACTGACTGCTCTTCAGGAGAATGCAGGTTCAAGTCTCAACACTGGTATGACAGTTCAAAGCTGTCTGTAACTCCACCATGTGACACCCTCACACAGACGCATGCAGGCAAAACACCAGTGAACATTAAATAAAAAATAAGTAAAAGAAAATTTGTTGTGGCCGGATTCTCTGAATGTGGCTGGCCCGGAGTCTTTCTGAGAAGCCATTGACAATGACACTGGGACTAGTTTCCTCTGCATATACTGGATTTTTGGGATCCAGTCTGTTTGGATACTCACCTTCCTGGACCTGGAGGGAGGGGGGACGAACTTGATCTTCCCACAGGGCTTGAAACCCTGACTGCCCTTAGGGACAAAGAGAGAGGAGGAGGAGGGGGGGAGTGGGAGGGTGTTGGGAAGAGGGGTGTAAATGGAAACTTTTATAATTTAATAAAATTACTTTAAAAAAAAAGAAAATTTGTAAGTTAAATCATTTTAAGTCAGGAGCTTGCTGTTCAGAAATAGCTCACAGAAAAGCTCTTATTTTGATGACTTTTAATGGTCAAGAGGAGTACTAAGGATGGAGAGATGCTCAGTCAGTAAAGTACTTACCATGCGGCCATGAGCATCCAAGTTCCATTGTCAGCATCCATGAAACAAGCTAGGTGTGGTGGCACATGCTTACAACTCCAGTGCCAGAAGGTGGGAGCATTGATCCCAGGAGCCCCTCTCCTGAGGGTACCCGAGGCGGCCCTGAGTCCATGAGCTTTTACAAGTTCTGTCTTAGGTTTGAGCTGCTGTCTCCAACAGTCCTGGAAAAGCTGCAGCCAACAGTTTCCCTTCTCCATTCTCTCTGTCCCTTGTCTCTGCCTTGACCTTCACCACTACTGTTGCTTAGTAACCCAAAGGGTACAGCTTCGACCATCACAGTTTACCTGTTCCCTGCATTCAGTTGTTGTCCATTTCTTGTTACCAGGATTGCTTTCCTCATTAAAAACAACAACAAGAAATTAAAAAAAGATCCCAAAAAGCCAAGCATGATGGTCCATGCCTTTAATCCCAGCACTCAGGAGGCAGAGGCAGGCCAATCTCTGAGTTTGAGGCCAGCCTGGTGTATTAAGCAAGTTCCAGGATAACCAGGACCACACAGAAAAATCCTGTGTCAAAAACAAATAAACAAAAAGACTTCTTAGTTCCGTCTTAACAGAAATTCGGGGTTTTATAGTTGCAGCTGGTGGATCTTCATACTTGTTGATACAAGTGGTGTCTTTGGAGGTGACGGACCTGTTCTAGAGGTTATAGGTACTGGTGGAGAAGTTTATGAGGTTTTGGTTTCACTCTTTGGAATTGAGGATGTGAGTGTGGCTTGAAGCTCCAGCAGATTAACTGTAGTAGGATAATTTTCTTTGCGGCCGAGGGAAAGCTTAATAATTGTCAGTACAGGAGAAACTTTGAAGAGTTCCTAGGTGGGTCTTTTTACATCCAGGCGTGTGTGTGTGTATGTGTGTTTGTGTGTGTTTGTTTTGTTTAAGGATTAACATGGTGTCAATTTAACCTTGCCATTTGGAAAGCTACATTTCCAAAGTTGGGATTGTGACTTTGCTTTCATAGCTGGTATCTTTAGACAAGTGATCACTAACCTTCAGTAGCCAAACTTCTTCATCTAGTGTACAGAAAAGTTGTAAACATGAAACTGAGTTCATGTAAAGTGCTGTACCTCCTGCCTCCAGCACGCAGTATGCTCTGAGTAAATGCATCTTTCTGAGTTGCTCACCATTGGAATGCTGCTTCTCAAGCCGCTGTTGGCCTGCAGTTTCTTTTCTTAGATTGCTAGTTGGATGGCGTTTTGAACTTATGTATAAAAATTAATGTTCTAGTTGTGGAGAGACAGTGAGGATGTGAGGAGCCTTGAGTCTTTCCTGGCTTTGATTTTCTGAGCCAAGAGTGACCTAAACTTCTTGCTTAACCCACAAAGGGTAAATGAAACTTTTATGAAGTTTTCTTGGTAGTATAAGACATTTGGAAATCTAAGATGGCCTCTCAAGAGTCAGCTAGCCACATGTGTGAAGCCAGGTACTTTTCTTGTTTTCTGCTGAGTGCTTCTAGGGCGTGTCCTGGAAGGGTCCCTGAGGGTGTGATCCTTTAGGACATGCTCTTAACCATTCCCCATGTCACACACTCAGTTGTGTGTCTATTGCAAGCTTCCACCCAGAAACAGGGCTTCTGGTGTGGCCCTGGATCCATTGCAGGCCAGTTTCATTCACTGCACGCACAGAAGCCCACAAGTGTGGGTGGGCACTGAAGAAAACTAATCTCCAAGTAGAAACCCTTGGGTCTGGGGCATCTCTAATGCTTTTGGTTTAGATTAGTAATAAAATTGAGATTTTATTATTCCATTACTCAGAATAAACATGACTTTTCCCCTTCTTTGCTGACTTGGGAAGATGGTGAACTCAACTGTAGGAAACCTCGCCCTCACAGATCTTTCGTGTGAAGGCTGGCCACTGAATACCTGTGCTTTAAAAGACCAAAAGTGACTTGGGGTGATGGATTTTAAGGTCTTCCTTTCCCGTTTGCCTGTGTTATTCTGTCTGTCTCTTGAGAAGGAAAAGATCTACCTGGTCAGTTGTTCTCACAGCTTAGGCCATGAAACCCAATATGGACAAGTTCAACAGAACCCATGCATGCTTCAGCATTACCAGGGCATAAATTTCCATTTTCAAATTTCATACCTCTTGCGAGCTGTGACTGCCTAGAATTACCGTGCTTCTGTTGCTGTACGTGTGCCCTGGTAAAGGCACAATGTGTTGGTTGTGTAGATACCAGCAGCTTTGCCATTAATGCTTTGTTTTTTCAAATACTGTACAACTTTTTCTCAACCAGTTCATACCACTTTATAAGAATTACCCACAAAACAAGGTGTTGTCTTTATATCACTTTACCGTGCTCATTCCTGGAAAACGCACTGGGGTCTGGGAAAATGCTTCTGCACGGACGGAAACCACTGGCTTTAGGTTCCAGTGTTGGTGGTGGTGTTTTGTTTTCACTTTCTAGAGAACACTGGTTCCGGAAGAGGCTGACTGGAGTGAAGGGAGGAGTGGGAACTTGGAAAGTGATACCCAGAGGACAATGTGCTCAGGAACCCTCCAGGGCCCAGGCTCTTAGGAGGGAAGAAAACATGGCTGCTACCTCAGCCCATGTGGAGATGGGAGAAGCAGCAGTTTTTACCTGGAACAGCTTTTGGGGGCAGCCAGGTTGGAGTGTTTGGAAATGTGGTAGGCTGCTGTTAAGCTTAGGAAATGCAGTGGGTAGGAAAATTGACACTGAGCACAGGGTAGAGACAGTTACCAAGCTAAGGGTCGTTTGTTTTTGAAGTAAAGCTTAAAGATGAGAGATGGCATGAGTTCAGGTTATTTATGTTATTGTTGGATGATTTGGGATGTGACAAGCTGGCAGTCTGTAGCCATCTAATCTGAGGTGGAGCAGTTAGACAGGAAGACTTGAAATGAAATTGACCAGGTGTTGGAGCTAAAGAAACATCGCTTGATGTTTCCTGAGAGGTGGCAGATGGGAAAAACAATTCATCTTGCACTAGATGGGGCTTTAAGCATCTATGGCCACAGCCAGGTTGAGGTACCTGACAGCACAAGGATGGCTGTCCGTCATTTTGCATGCACACTGTTAGGTGTATTGAAATACTTGATGTTTTGTAGTGACACTTCATTTGTATTTTAATAAATAAACCTTGCCTGAAGTTCAGAGAGTAAAACAGCTGCACTGATCAGCATTCAGACCAGACAGTGATGACACACTTTGAATTTTAGTAGTCACACTAGTTTGTCACAGAAACTAGGCAGTAGTGGTTCATGCCTTTAATCCCAGCCCTGGAGAGGAATATAAGACCGGGGAGACAGCTCTCAGACATTGTCTCATTCTGAGATTCCTGGAAGTAGGATTGCCATTTTGGACTGGGGTAGAGGTAAGAGCCAGTGGCTGCCTTTTTTTGCCTTTTTGACCTTCAGGTTGAACCCCATATCTGTCTCTGAGTTTTTATTAATCATGCTACAATGTTTTGTAACAGCATAGGAGGCGGGGATAAATATGCAGTGAATTTATACTGGAGGAACCCAGAGAGATTTTCAGTTTGCCCCAGGTTTTGCAGTTAGCTGACAGGAAGTGAAAACCTAATCTTTATACCCAGCCTGTTTTACCATGGCTTGCTGGGTGTGGATTTTGTGTGTGTCTTTGGATTTTCTTGTGCTTCCTGATCTGATAGTTTGTGTCTTTGTACATTTACAAATATTTCATAGTCACCATCGTCCAAAATTTTGCCTATTAAAGTTTTTTCCCCCCTTTCTTCTACATTCTAGTTGAATGCATTAGACTCTCTATCTTTCTTTGCCAGCCTGAGGGTTTCAACTCTGTCTTTCTGAACTATTTCAGGTGGTTTCTGAAGTGTCTCTTAGGTCACTACTCTCTCTTTAGCTGTGTCTGGTCTGCTGGTAACCTGTCTGAACGTTCAGTGTCAGTAGTTCATTTCCGTATGAGCTCTGCCTTTCTCTCCCCACACACTCATTGTGTGAGCGCAGGTATTATAGTCTTCTGAATTGTGTTTGCCTAGGACACAGGCCTTCAGTTGTTCATACGAACCCTCATAGAAGAAATATGTGAAATTGTTATTTGTGTATGGATACTTTTTAAATGCATGTTTAAAAATAGGTTACTAGTGTTCCTTGTTTTCTGAAACCAATTTTGAATGTAGCTTGTTTGTTGACCAGGGAGACCTTGTGCGCAAGTTGAAAGAAGATAAAGCCCCACAGGTGGATGTGGACAGAGCGGTAGCTGAGCTCAAGGCCCGGAAGAGAGTTCTGGAAGCGAAGGTAAGTCTTAGGCTGCCACGATAGAAATGTTAATAGGTGTAGGCTATTCTTCTTTAGCTCATCTCTTGGGGTAGGAAAGATCTCGAAAGCTTTCTGAACAAGTGCCGTTTGATCATTGTTCTTATTCAGTGTGGCTTTTCCTCCTCTACCTAACCGACTTCCTGTGCTTTCAGAAAACAACTCCAGGCTCTGCCGCTCCTCCGTTGAGCACTGCCTAGCACATTAGGCCCTGGGTTCGAGCCCCAGTATTTCAAGAACCAAGTGCAGCTTACAATGTCACATTTTCTCTAAAGCTTCCCTGCTACCTGAACCCACACTTTCACTGTCCTTCAAATCCTAGATATAATAAGCTACATGAATTTTCCTGAAGATGTGCTTTCCTTTGTAAGAGTTCTCCTAGGCTTAATTTAATGGTTTTATTGTAATCTATCTTATATCTAACTCCAGAACTTTTTAAATCATAAACTTATCACTAAAGTAGTTTGGGAAGTTGTTCTGTTTTGTTTTGTTTTGGGTTCAGGGAGGGTTGTGTGTCTGTCTGTCTCTGTGCATGTAGAGGCCAGAGGTGTCTGGTGTCTTCCTCTTGTGTCCCTTTTATATTTTGAAGGGTCTTTCATTTAACCTGGAATTCATCAATTTGACAGGACTAGCTAGTCAGTGTGCCCTAGGGATTCCCTGTTTCCATCTCCCAATGCTGGGGTTACAGATGCATGTCACCACAATGTGCTTTTATATGGTGCTGGAGTCTGAATTCAGGCTCCTGTGTTAGTCAGCAAGACAATTGGGTTGTCTCCTGAGTCTTGAATCTGAGGTTTTAAAGTGACTCTCTTACTAGGAATACTTTAAAATTCAGTTATTGCTTAAATTGCTTCGCTGTATCTGAAGAAGCTTAATAGGTCTTTTGTTTTCTAGAGATCAAGTCTACTGTAACCAGGCTAGCCTTAAACTCCTTTGGCCTCAGCACTCAGTACCAGGATCATAAGAATGGGCCACATGCCTGACTTCTCACTTAGTCTCTCTGATCTTTAAAGTAAACATATTCCTTCCTACATAAGTGCAGTTGTCTGTATTATTCAACTATCCATTGCTGTGAGTGACACCCCAGAGGTGTCCAAGGAAGAAAGGCTTGTTGGCCTCAGAGTGTCAGAGGTTACAGTCTGTTCAGCTTGATTGCTTTTCGGCCTGTGGTGCAGATGGCATGAGAAGAACACTGTTGCTCCAGCAGAGAGCGAGAAGAGGCCCCTTCAAGGACTTTCCTCCAGTCACCTAACTTCTTCTCCTGATATGTCCGCCTCTCCTTGCTGTACTATCAGCCAGAGAGCAGCCTCCAACGAGCTTTGCTGGGGGACAGTAAGATCCAAACTGTAGCAGCTTCTTTTCTGTCGTTCAAAGTGTTTGTGGGGACTGCGGCTCCCTCCAGCTTCTCAAAATCTAATCTCTTTGGCATTTTATGTTGGATTCTGCTAGGGAATGAGCTAAGTTCAGTCCCCACTTCCTGTCCAGTCTCAGTCTTCCTGCTTACTCTCTTGTAGGAGCTGGCGTTGCAGCCCAAGGATGACATCGTAGACAGAGCAAAAATGGAGGATACTTTGAAGAGGAGGTTTTTCTACGATCAAGCTTTTGCTATTTATGGAGGTAGGGGATGGATGAAGGAGCAGTGGTGTTGTTAGTGACTTTACTATGCTTAGCTAAGAGCTTGGCTTGTGAACTGATATCTGTATCTCCATAAAGGAGAGAAGACACTTAATTTGTTGCTCAGGTGTTGACATTTGACATAATGTCCACTCTTAGTACTTCCCTGCCCTGTTACTTTTGTTTTGTTTTTTGAAAATCGATTTTCCCCCCCATATAATATATCCTGATTGCGGTTTTTCCTTTTCTCTACTCCTCCCAACCTTCCTTCTCATATAGATCCACCCCTTTCTGTCTCTCCTTGGAAAACAAATAGGCACTTAATGGGTTAATAATAAAATATAATATAGTAAGATAAAACAAAAATAAATGAATTAAAATAGAATGAAACAAACAGAAGATAACAAGCCCAAGAAAAGGCACAGGAAAGAGAGGTGCAGAGACCCACTCATTTACACACTCAGGAATCCCATGAAACAAAAAACTGGAAGGCTTAATATATGCCCAAAGGACCTGTAGTGTTAATATAGATATATAATTAAAAAAAAGAAAGAAAGATGGGCTGGAGAGATGGCTCATAGGTTAAGAGCATTGATTGCTCTCTCTTTCTAGAAATCCCCAGTTCAATTCCCAGCAACCACATGGTGGCTTACAGCCATCTATAGTGAGATCTGATGTTTTCTTCTGGTGCACAGGCAAATGTGCAGACAGAACACTGTATACATAATAAATACATACATCTTTAAAAAGGAAACTGAATTTTAAAAAAGGAAGAAAGAAAAGGCCTTGACATAACATTATGAGACAGGGAATCTCCAAAGATAATCTTTGAGTTTCTTTTCTGTTGGCCATCTTTTATTAGGCATGCATCCTACCCTTAAGAGTGGTTTGTTTCCCCAGTGAGACTTCCTTGGAGAAAACTAAGTTTTCATTTGCAAGTGGTTGTCATTTGAAGACAGCTTTCGGATTAGAGATGGGGCCATGCACCCACTTCTCCTTTCAGCTCTAGGACCCCTTCTGATTCAGACCTGTGCAGGCCCTGTGCATGCTGCCTCGGTCTCTGTGAGTTCATGTGTGTGTCGGCCCTGTTGTGTTTAGAAGACCTTGTTCTCCTGATGCCGTTCATCTCTTCTGGCACTTTCTGCCTCCTCTTCCCCAGGGTTCTGAGCCCTGAGAGGAGGGATTTGATGGAAACGTCTTGAAAGGTTGAGTGTTCCAAGGTCTCTCACTCCATCCTATGAATTCTTTTTTCTCTCTTAGCATGTAGGGGTTGCTGGACTCAGACATTAGGCATTTGCTGTGACTGTGTGTTTATACTTTGGTGCATTTTTGCCTAAGACCTGTACTGTTGATGGCCTGGCTGCCCCTCCTCACGGGACCTCAGCCATACACAGTCATTGGTGAATTCTTTGTGAGCAAGGGTCAGGGAAAGTGTTGTTCAGCAGCGTGACACAAATTTTTCTGAGTGCTGTATGAGGGCCCACTGATTAAATGTAGAACTGCCTGTGTCAAACAGATCCTTGGCCTGTGGTACTTTGTCACTTAAATTTCCCTGGGCTTGGCTAAGTACATCTTTGAGTGTTTTACCTCTTGAGGTATAAATAACAGCCCAAGTACCCATAGTAAATAAGAGAATGTAGTGCTGACCCTTAGATTATTGTTCTCTGCCAGTGTGACTTGTTTTGCACATACACCGCAGTTTGCTTTTTCATCCTGCCCTGTATCTGTTAGTGTAACTTGGGGCTAACCCTCCGTGAAATTGCAACACAGAGACAGAGAGTGGAGGGAGCTTTTAGGTTTCCCTTGGTCAGCCAGCTGGAAGTGGTGCTCTTTGGTGCAGAAGGGCTTACGCTGTGGGCAGCATATGTGTCAGAGTAACAGGAAGAGCCCATGCTTGCTTCTCGTTCCTCACAGGGGTCAGTGGCTTGTATGACTTCGGACCAGTAGGATGTGCTTTGAAGAACAATATCATCCAGACCTGGAGGCAGCACTTCATCCAAGAGGAGCAGATCCTGGAAATTGACTGCACCATGCTCACCCCTGAACCAGTTTTAAAGTGAGGTTCTGCTTTGATGGGAGAAGTCCTTTAAAAGTTAATACTTTTTGCTTATAAAATAATCATAATAATAAGTTTTGATTACAGAAACTGTGCTCATTTAGAAAGTTAGTAAAAAGCAAAAACAAGAGACATGCCTGCTGCTCACAGATAGCCACATTAAAATTACTTTTTGTCTTTTCATTCTTCTGAATGTTCCTGTATATTTGAACATGACGAACACATTGCATTTCTCCATGCAATGTAGGTAAGCATCACAAAGTTAAATCTGTCGTAAGCGTTTTTGGAGCCATTGAGACGGTTCAGCAGGTAGAAGTGCTTGCTGCCCAAACTGGCAGTCTTATCTCACTCCCTAGCACTGCATTGTATAGAGGGTGGGGGAAATGACTCCTACAGCTTGCTCTCTGTCCTTGTCACACACAGCCACATATGTAGAGTGAATAATTTTAATTTTAAAAAGCGTTTTTGGTGACAGCATAGTGTTCTGTTTTATGAATGTAATATGATTTAGTTAGTGATGTATCATAAGCATTTAAAGTGTTTCTGAAGTTGTGTTCAGATAGGTACATTTTTGGATATATCCTTGATTATTTCCATGACATAAATTGTTAATGTAATAGGCATTCTCATCCATGCTCTTTATGTATTAAAATTTCAGTGCAAAGGTGTATGTTCAAGATTATTTAAAATGGGGTAGGATTTCTGTAACCATGCAAGAAGAATTCTTATCACTTTGTGTCTCATCCTTATGAACATTTAATGTTGTCTGATAAGGTGGCAGTTTTTATTATTAGCTTCTTTGGGGTGCTGTTAATAATCATAGCCAATTAAGATGAGAGGCATCCCTGTTGATAAGTCTGTAAGAGCTGGATAAACTCAGTGAGCCATTTGTTCTACTAATGGTAACTGTAAAGATAATACTAATGCCAGTATAGGTCAGGATCTGTACTGAGCTGTGATGAATTCTTAGATCATTAAATACCTGATGACTTTGGCCTTTGCTTAGATGGTTAATAATAATGGAACAAGCATAAAGTATCCTGATATGTCATACAGCCTTAAAATAGTTAGTAAATATATATAATCTAGCTAATCTCTTTTTTCCATAGGAAATAACTTGAGAGGGAATGAAAGAGTTTTCTTAGAGCGTATGTCTCTGTCTGTGAAGGATACATGGTTGCTCTAGATATGGAGTTTCTATCTTGGACACACATGGATCTAAACTCCAGGTAGACATATTATAGAGGTCGTCTTCTAAGATATTATCCTGTTTTTGTTTATTGATTAGGACCTCTGGCCATGTAGACAAATTTGCTGACTTCATGGTTAAAGATGTGAAGAATGGAGAGTGTTTCCGTGCTGACCACCTGCTGAAAGGTATGGGTAGCCCTCTTTCCTGTGGTCGCCTACAACAGAGGTGGAACCCTCTTTTCCTCAAGTTTTTTCCTTTTTTTTTTTTAAAAAAAAATGGGTTATAGTTATAACATACTTAGATTAAACATACAGATCATAGTCTCCAAGAGATTAGTTACATTCAGATAACCTTTCTAATCAGCAAGTGATCAAGACATTATTATGGATGGCCTGGGGCTGTCACTCAGTGATAGCCTGCTTAGCATGGTTAAGGCCCTGGGTTTTATGCTCAGCACAAGAGAAAACCTGAAAACATTCAGGCCACCCCTGCAAAACTGTCTGTGGATTAGTAGAAAATAAGAACACTAAGTTCAGATTCGCTTTTAGTTACCTAGCACTGGAACTCAAATGCACTCTTAGTGATGGGAACTGACTCTACCAACACTGTTCTTCTAGCTCATTTACAGAAACTGATGTCCGATAAGAAGTGTTCTGCCGAGAAGAAGTCAGAGATGGAAAGTGTCTTGGCCCAGGTGAGACATTTGGAGACATCAGAACAACTGTGTGTGCACTCCTGTGTCTTCCGTGTCTGTCAGCAGTTCCACCGTGTTCATGACGTCCCATGTAGTACACCTTAAATTTTCTTCTATGGTTAACGACAAACAATTGTGTTTTTAACTTTTCTTTTTTTCCTTTGTTTTTCAGTCAGTGTAGACCTCACGGTGTAGCCCAGGCCGGCCTCCCACTTGAAGTGATCCTCCTACCCCAGCCTCTCTGCTGTTGGGATGATAAACATTGAGCCATCATGCCTAGCTCTAAAACTAGAGATCTAATTCCATTGATCTCTTTAAAACTGAGTAGAGAACGTGGTAACATTTGCTCCTTTGCCTTTTCATTTATTTATCCGTCTTATGAGGGAAGGGTTAGCCATGCTATGGCTCAAGTGTGGAGGCCAGAAGGCTGCTTTAGAGAGTCAAGTCTATTCTCTTTCCAAGTCTGTATAGATCCCTGGGATTGAACTCGGGCCCTTAGGCTTTTGGCAAGTACCTTAACACACTGAACCATCCCACCCACCCCCTTGGGGGTTTTTTATTGTGCTTTGTTATGGTTTTGTCTTTATGAATTTGTGATTCCTCTTCAGCCTTTCAAGTGGTGGGATTATGGGTGTTAGCCACTGTGTCCAGTTTAACATTTTGCTTTTCTTTCATAGAAATTGCTAAATTCTTTTGCTACCTTTACCCTGTTTTTTGTTCAAGCTTGCAGATTTTTCTCTGAAAATTAACTTTGTCTTCCAACCTTAGATGTGAATTTTCCTCTTCGTTTAAATTAAGAGCGTTGTTATTCTAGTTGTTGATTTCAGTCCCTGTGGTGTATAATCGTCGTCGTCAGGAGCTTTTTGCTCTAATGTCATCAGGTTAGAGGGTCCGTTTGTTTAATCGCAGTGCTTTTAGAGCAATGTGCTCCTCCCAGTGCTGGGATGGAGCTCTGACCTGTGTCCTCGCTGTGTCCTCAGGCCTCGCATGCTCACAGTTCCTTCCTCTCTCAAAGGCTTAATGTTTGTTTAAAGGAAATTGTCCCTGATTTTGAATTTTTTTTAATTTAATTTAATTTAATTTTTTGAGACAGGGTCTTACTTTAGTCCTGACTGTCCTGGAAGTCAGTATGTAGAGCAGGCTGGCCTCGAACTACAGAGATCTGTCTGCCTCTGCCTCCCCATTGCTGGGATTAAAGCTGTGCACCACCATGCTTGGCTCGCTCTTTCCTTCCTTCCTTCCTTCCTTCCTTCCTTCCTTCCTTCCTTCCTTCCTTCCTTCCTTCCTTCCTTC